GGGAAAAAAATGTGCAGTTTTTCAGTTAATATTTATTCATTCATTCACCAAATGTATTTAAAATCTGTTTGACATCTGAAGATTTTCTCTAATGCAACAATTTCACATTTTACAGCAACGCTTACAAAACAGCACAGCATTACATTCTTATGTCTTATGATTTGTGGTCCTTAAACAACTTACCCAGATAACTACTAAAGATGCAGCATAATATGATGTCAATAACATTGAATTACCAAACATCAGAATAAAACACACTACGAGAGATACCTGAAGGAAGAAAAATAATTAAACTTAAAATAGAAAATTATTGCTAAATATAGAAATTACCCTTATCACCAACAACTTGACATTTAAAGACACCCCACCCAACAGCTGCAGGTTTCATAACTTGTTGAGAGTTATTCTGAAGAGTTGTTCTGAAAACACTGATTATAATTATAATCACTTCATTGTAGCAGACAGAAAAGTATAGAGTATTATACTAATTTATATTTAAAAGCACATATACATTAAAATATTGATCACAGGACAAACTCATCTTACATGAGATACCACTTATATTTGTGAAGTTATTCCTAACTTAATGCAATAACTAGAAAGAAATAAAAAAGAGTACCTCTCTATTCTATTATCTAACAGAGTCCTGGATAAACAAGTTTGTTGCTTTCTTTCTTACAAACTGAGAATTGCAGTCAAATTCAATGAAATTTCATCATGGGCACAGCTATAGCACATTGAAAGTCAATACAACTTTTATGCACCACACTGACCTCCTGCTGTGCTTTCTTATTAAGAGAAAGCAAGCTGCATTAATTTCCAAACTTAAGAAAGCCATAATAACAATTAAATTAATTTGAAATAAAGCAATATCATAATATTATATGTTAATATAATAAAAGTATCTTTAATAATATTAATATTATTATATAATATAATTTTATAAATAAAATTATTATTATATTAATATAATAATAAAATTTCTGCCTTCTCTTTCTATGCACAGGAATAAGTAATAACAGCATAGTTATTAATAAAATATGTAGCCATTTGTATTTTTTTTTTCACAGTTAGACTTGAATTTTCCACAAAATCTAGGGGAGTGGAGAGGTGGAATCATAAACTCCAAGAAGAAAGACTGGCAGTTTCCCCAATCTCAGTATATATCTCTATAATACAACACAAATACTGAATTTAGGCTTTTTATGGCACTTTGTCACCAGTATTATACACTTATTGATGTAAGCCAAAAGGTACAAATATTTCATCCCATTTCTGCAGAAAAAAATATGACTAAGCCAAGATGCTTACTTGCAAATTTCCCTTTTAAGCATGACTAGGAACACGTGCTTAGTGTCCCAGGCTTAAACTGGAATTAGGCTGTACAGAACTTATCACTGCCTTTCATTTACCAATTACCATATTTCAAAGAGTATGGAAAAAAAATATGAAACAGTTTAGCTCTAAGCTTCTTTCATGTGGTAAACATTCGCTTTCCGTTCACTAAGTTTGCATAGCATAATTTTAGCAAAAATATTCATCTAAAAATGGACACAACTCTTCAGAAAGTTGTTTACATCTTCCTACATATTTATGACTGTAGTCTTACATCTTCCTATATATTTATGACTGTTGTCTCTCTTCGAGGAGCAAAAATTCCTGGCAGCAGAACTCAATCATTTTCTTAACTTTAAAAACCAAGTTCAGGTATATCATGTTGAAGCTCAGTTGTCTTTTACTTATTGTCATCTCCTGCCTTTCTTGACTTTCTGATCAGTTTTACAAAAGGTTTTTTTTTCCCCCAAATTGATACCTTTTTTGTCATCCTTTCTGAACAGCTCTCCAAACAACCACAACATCTTTGTGCGATCCAGACTTCAGTAGTTTTCAAAACCCACTTTGAGCTGGGATTCTCTCATTTTGAACTGCAAACATCTCATTTATTGTTTCCACTAACCAAAGGCATGAAGTGAGTGCTACCTTTTCAACTTCTTATTGCTCATGCTCTACTACTTAGTGTATTTTCTAATCTGCTGTTTGTGAATGCATCTTTGAATTCACGGAATAAGCAGAGATAGAAAATATTTTTATAGACCTTTTAGGTTGAAAATGGTTCTGGAGTTTGGAAATTCCAATGCATCAGACAGACTGTCGTTTCTGTCACTGTGATATACACATTTAAGATCAAATATTTAAATCCAGGCCCCTCCAGCCTTTGCTGTTTCCTCCCTTGAGGCAAGGGAGGCCTTGCAAAGGGATCTAAATACATTGGCACATTGGGCAATCATCAATAGCATGAAGTTCAACAAAAGAAAATGCTGGCTTCTACGTGTGAGATGGAATGATTCTCACAAGTACAGATGGGAGGTAGGTGCCAGCAGGCTCAGAAGGAGCCAGCAGTGTGCCCAGCAGCCAAGAAGGCAAAACGCATTTCAGGTGTATTAAAGACAGCATAACCTGTCGGTTAGAAAAAATGATTCTCCTGCTGTAATTAGTGTTGGTGCAGCCTCACCTTGAATACTGCATGCAGCCCTGGGCTTCACAGTATAATAAAGGACACCAAGGTCCTTGAAAGCTTCCAGAGGAGGCACCACAGTTGATGACAGGGCTAGAAGGAGAAGCTGAGGACACTTGGGTTGGACTAGACTTGTGTCCTCCTGAAGAAGAGGAGGCTGAGAGGAGACCTCACCTCTCTCTGCAACTCCCTGAGAAGAGGAAGCAGAGAGTTGTCAGGCTCTGCTCCTGGGCACAGATTCCATGGTGGGAGTGGCACAAAGCCATCGACAGAGAGCCAGAGTGGATATTAAGAATAATTTCTTTACTGTGAGGGTGGTCAAACTCTGGAGAACAGCTTGATGCCCCAGGCCTGCCAGTACTCAAGATGCATTTGGGCAACACTCTTGTTCAGGTGCTTTAGCTTTTGATTAAATGGCTAGGCTGCTGGGCTTGATGATACTTGACAGTTCCTTCCAAATAAACGATTCTATTCTATTCTTCTATCTTTTAAATTGTCGTATAATTGAGGAAAACACTTCAGACACAATGCCTTTTGAAGCTCTGAACAGTTTGATAGGACTTAAGTTGGAGAAAAAATATATACCATATGAACAGAGAGTATCTTCTGTAATTTGCAGGAGTCAATATAACCCATAATACACACAGCAAACAATGAAGCTATCTAGAATCAAAAGTAAAAAAAGAAAGTTAAAACAATTTGCAGTGGTCAAGTTGCTCTAACAGATATGTATTCATACACAAATGTAAGTGTTCAAATAATCATACACAAACTTTCGTTGCTTTTTTTTGCTAAATAAATATGTCAACATTTTATAACTGCTTCTTTCAAGAAACATGAATTTTGCAGCTCTTAGTAACAGTTATCAAACACACTTGAGCATCCAAGGAGCAAGTATTCAGCTTTACAGAAATGTAAGTCATCACAATCCAGCACTGAACACATCATCTTTCACCCATGAGAAAACAGATTAAAAACAAAAACAAAACACAAACATAAGCATTAATTAACATCATCTAGCCCCACATCTTCAGCAAAGCATCCACAATTTGGTGCTGAAAAAAAAAAACTGGATTCACTGATTTGGTAGCTTGCTAAAAACATAAGGAAAAATCATGAAACTATAATATCAAATTTCAAGGCCAGCATCTAAAACTGGGCACAGCAATGCATTTCTTATATTTTACATTGTTAAATGGCTTCCTCATCTCTAGTTAGAAAATCTGCATACACAGTATATACAGATTGTTCAAAAATATCAACTCCAATCAATCAACACCTCTTCTGAGTGCAGCAGACAATTGAAAAGGTATGGAGGCGTGGACAGGTTTTAAACAACAGGTTACTTTGCAGTCAATTTAAACATTAAGAAATTGTGCTGCGTGACAGTAACCTATTGCCCACATTAGCATTTACTACTTTTCTTGTAGCACTTGTTTAAGTTACCTCAACTGTACGAACCCTCATGCAGTAAAATTATGCCACTGCTGTCAGGTTTTTTAAAATTAAATAGGAAACCATGTAAAATTATGCCAGCTGTCACATCCATGCAAACTTTGCTCTACTCAAAAAATTGTGAAGAGCCCAAAGCAATGCAAGATCAATGCCTTTTTTATTTTTGTATTTCAGTGTACAAAGTTTTCTTATGTTCTGCGTTTGTTCTAATGTAATGATCCTGTGCTGAAGGTTGCTTTTAAGGAAAAAAGAATTTGTTTAGTCCTGGTTAAAAAAATAAAAAAAGACTTTTAAATGGAGCAACTTTAAAGACTAGAAAAAACCTGGTGTGATAAGTGGAGTGAATCTTCCCTGACGGCAAGTCTAGCTGAAATGAAAGCATCAAGATAATTGTACACGCAATGGCTGCCTGTACAAAATAGTCAATTTGGTTAAAGTAAAGAAAAAGACCATGCAGAGGTGAATATGGTCTTACCTGAGTTAAAAGAACAAACTGAGCAAACTGCCAGGGAAGCATGAAAAAGATATTAGAAACACACAGTGCAATCAAGCTTCCTTTATTAACATTCGGAATCCTTGGGAAAAAGAGACAGAATAGGTATCAGTAAGTTAAAACTACACAGATATTTGCATACTATCAGAATGCATGGAACGAAAACAAAAGTTACCTTGGAAGTTAGCAAGCAATAACAGTCTTTGCAAAGTAACACTCAAGTAAATTTAGCATCATTTTCCCTCAACTTCCAAAAACAATAGTTCTAATGTTTCTTAATGATTTGATGAGTCACCCTTTTCCAAGCATGTATTTTTCTGAGAGCATGCAATGCAGGAATTCAACCTGGAGCACTCTGTGTAGTCCACCCTCGTGTAGCAACTGCAGTCAGGTCACAACTACTTTTATTTCAGCCAGAATCACAATTATTCTCATAAAAGTCTGTATCTGACAGTGATTTCACTCTTCCAGCATTCTCTCTCATCTCTTCTGTATCTCCTCTCCACAACTTTTCGCCAGCGATCCTAGCACAGGATTCCAGGGCAATGACAAATGCACAAAACTCACCTTAGACTGAAAATAGCCTGTTTTCCATCTCCTGCTGAAAAGTTGTTGGGTTTTTATTATTATTTATTTATTTAACTCTAGCTTAGAGATCATATCAGAAACATGCCATGATTCTAAATTCACACCAAGTGGCCTCCGAAAGATTAGGAGATCATAAACAGTCGCTGAAAAGAACCCAAACCCAACAGATAACACAAGTCTCAGCAAATTCTGTAAAATTTTCTTCAGTTTCTCCTAAAAAGTCTTTTGATTAAGTACTGGAAGTCATGCTGAGCATGATTCTACCATATTCTAGACTCTGTTTCAAAGATAGTTCCTCCATTATGTCAGAAGACCAGCATGCATGGCTCTTGGAAGTAGGAACTCGAACTGAAAATCTGAAAGTTAAGTCTTAAAACATCGTGCCAACTTTTTGAAATCCCTTCACTGGTCATTGGTAGGCACACAAGCTCCATTACTACTTCACACACCAGGATTTGAAGCAGTAGCACATCTATCTAATCAAGTGTCGTAGTTATAGATACAGAACATATACACGGGGATCAGTGTATTTAATTTCACTGTTTTTTGTTACATTTAACTATTTAGCCTCAAATGAATGTTTACCATTCAAATAATCTAGCAATCATTCTACAAACTACTCCTAATGATGTATTTTAAAATATTTTTTTATCTTTCATTTTGTATCTTTTTTCTTACCTAAAAAATACAAGATAGTGACAGATGAGAGTGATGCATTTTTGGTTTAATCACCAATAACTACAAGTCAGTATAACCTAATAAAGGAAAATCTGTGGTTATGCAAAATTCAGTTGAAACACAAATACACTGCAAATCTGATGCAAGAGAATTCAGTGGAAAACCCTCATATTAACAACCATGCTTATTTTTCAAACCAAAGGCAAGACACAGTCACACTGCAGGCCAGAAACAACCACAGAAAAGCAGGGCTAATGAACTCAAGAGCATCTCTGCATTATTATCATTAGATTGCTTGAAAGACTGAACTAATAAACACATGAATTGAAAGAACATAACAGCTTATGGGTGCTATTGCATTCGCTGTTTCATAGCATAAGCTTATTCTAAGTGCAATCAACGTACCACTCTCCAAGAGGGACAAAACCAATTCCTGGAGTATAGCTTGCTTTCCATGGGATAGAAGTGACATCAACCAAAAATTCTCTTTTTTGTGTGTTGTTTTTTTTTTTTTTTTTTTTTTTTTTAAAATTCAGACATGTGTTTCCCAACATAGTAATTCTGATATTTATTTTAATCATGTCTTCAAGTTGAAACAATTTCCTTTTAATAAATGAGTAACATGACTACAGCTCTACCAGTGCAGCATCTGCAATGTAACAGCCACAGGAAAGTTTCTATGTTAATGATATTCCTACAGCACGATAATATCTAAACAAATGCATTCAAATATGTTTCCTCCCACATTCCATTTTTTTAACTCACTTTTAGAAGCTAAGTATAAATTGAGAGGTACCTGAGAATATAGGTCAAAAGCAACATCTGAAGCACAAGGAATGGGTATGAGAAACTTTCACGAAGAGGGGGAGTCCACATGACACGAGTGCACTAAAAATAAGAACTGGGTTAGCTGATAATGTTTGGTGCTGTACTTTCATAAAGCAATGCATCTGCATTTGAAAATGAAAGACCAAAAACTCTTCAGTAAAGCAAACCCCAAAACTTCTATGTACAAGCCAAAAAAAAACCTCAAAGGAAAACAAAAAGCCAACAGCACAATAAACAAACCAAAACAAACAAACAAAACACCCCACAAGAAGAAAACCAACAAGACAGGATGCAAAAAAGAAAAGGAGAAAGGATGCAGCTTTCAGACTTGAGGTCGATGATGCACTGTTTAACAAAAAGACAAATTACTACTCTTCCAAAACTAAGTGTGACAGATAGAGAACTTCTAAGAAAACAGCCAGGAGAGCCTCTGCTCGTCTCTGCTTCTGCTGAACTTAACAAGTCATTCAGCTAACTGACATTACTTCCAACTTCAGGCAGTCACTTGCCACACGTACATGGACAATGTGAGTGGGGAGAGGAAAAACCAACACACTCTTCACCACACTAGACCATTCAGGTTACAAACATTTTACATTTCTAGCAGCAGCAAGACAGAAAATTTTTATAAAATCTGCTTTCTAGGATAGGCTACTAAAACCAAACTGAAGTTTACAAAGCTATTCTAAATTGTTTCCTTCACTCTTTAGCCTACTGAAGTCAAAAATAATGCAATTGAATCAACCCAATATCTTCTTCATTAACTTCTTTGGGTTTGTGACAAACAGCTCACCCGCTTCACTGATATTCTGATCCTTATACTCAGCTCTTTAGAAAATGTGTGCACATGGCACTGGTCATCAAAAAAAAAAAAATTGTAACTTCAAAGTTAGGAACATTACTTAATACTAATTTACTATCTAAAATTTATGTTCCTATATGATTAAAAAACATCCTTCAGATTATTTCAATTCTGCACAGCATTCTTTCAGATGCATAAGCAGCCTACCAGCAGGAAATCATATTTTAAGTGGAATCTGTTTAAAAAAACAACAAAAGAACACAACACACCAAACCACTCTGCGTCCGGACGAATGAAACACAATCACATTTAAATCCAAGGTTTACAAGTGAAGGTAAGCAAAATCTTTGATTACAACTACATAGCTAGCACCTAGACGGCTTTCACCCAATAGTTAGCAGAAATAGTTTGAACGAAATGCATCTTCAAACTGTATTTACTTACTGTTGCAACAGAGAGAATTGTGTTCATCCTATTTAGCGTGCAAAATTTTTGCAAAACTACTAAGCATGCTTTGACAAATTATTTCTGTAGCTTTTCTTCCACAAACGTAGCTTTCACAATAGTATTAGCCACTCTCCTTTGTCTAACTCCATTTCCCTTAGACAGCAATTTATCACTGTAGGACAAACAGCATTGAACCTGTGCCCAGGAAACACACAAACACAGCCTACAGGAGATAGGGAGGTACTTCTATAGCCCGAAATACCATTTTGCATTGTGGCAATCAGTTAGCAGGATACAATCTGAAGTAAATAGAGCAATTTCAATGCAGAAAGCACCTAAGCCCCTCTACCTATCTTCTGTTGCACACAAAACAAAGCTGACTCTGTAAGTAACAAAAGGCAAAAAAGAATTAGCATAGGCTTAATCCCCCTTCCTCTCTGCAAAAAAAGAAAAATACTTTGATGGATGTTAATACATACTCCTGAGAGGACTGCTGAAAAGAGAGTTGTGTTCACAAATTGCAAGAAGAGATGCAGAAGAAGCCTGGTAACTTCCTATCTTAAGGAAAATGAAAGGGTTGGTCCATTCAGAAACCTTACATGAAGGCTAACCAGGGGATAAAATTGTTTTGAGTACACAGCTTTGGACATAAGCATTATGGAAGAAGAAAATATTTCAAGGAGAGGACATTTTTGACATACCAATGGATAGAAAATGGCTATCAATAGATTCATACTAGAAATCAGAAAGATTCTTTATTACTGAAGGCCAAAAACTTAACATAGACAATAATGAATTTATGAAACCTTACAGCATGTTTATACAATCTTGTCCCTTCTACTTTGATTCCCAGAACCTTAAAGACATTTTAAAAATATTGTTTTATCAAAGATATTACCAGAATCAGTACCATTCAATTATCTGCTTATTGTTCTGATATTCCACTAATATGTTAAATTAACAGTGTAAAACAGGTGCTTAAAAATGTAAAATAAACGAAAAGTTGTCTGCCAATTACCATCAAAATTAGTACACATAATTGTGAAAGATTTATGTGTGTTTCCTGTCATCTGACATGAAGTCTCTTAGATTGTGCCAAGTAGGACAGCACAGCTCACTGTGCCATAGTGTGCCAAAACAATGTGTACTCTTGTCAGAGCTTTCTAGCAAAGGATAAAATACTAATTCCAAATTATCATCCAAAAAGAACGGCAGTAGAACAGGGGTTTATTTGCACTATGTGAATTCATGAATTTCAGATAAAATACATAGCAATCTAAAGAAAACTTCCACAGTTTCTAAGGCTTATGCACATGATGCATCTAAGTCCAATTATGTCTGGAACAGGGAAGAAAGATTTTGATGTTCTGAAACTTGAACTTGTTGTGCTACTAAGACGTGAATCTCAGAATTACTTTACACTTCCCTTCTGATTTTTATTTATTTTTTAAATCTAAAGTGATACATTACAGTGCTATACATCATACAAATTGTAACCTATTTCGCATTCAGTAATGTCTTACTCCTATTAGCCTTTTACATTCATCCTCATTTAAATCAGCAGCATAATTGTCTTTAAGGAAATTAGATCGATCTTACTCTTCAATAAGAGGGAAGAAAAATAAGGTGGTAATCCTACCTCTCCATGGTTGAAAAAGTAACACATCACGGTAATGAGGCCTCCTAGACGGCTCCCACTGTGAAAAGAACATAAAATATAAATACAAGAGAACTTCCTAAACTTCCTAACAGCTGATGCTTCTTCAAAAATGTGGTGCATTTGCTTATAGCTAAGTTTACTGGGGAAAGCAAAAACGCTTTTGGGCATCGCAGAAAAATAATCCACATTGCACAGAAGATATTAAAAGACTAGCTACACAGCTAGTGTTTACTCCAGAGCAGACACCTCTTCATACATCAACTCTCTTCTGCAGAGCACCAATTTTGATGTAAATTACTTGTGAAGTTGCTCTTCTGCCCGTCACAAGCTTTGGTTGTGATCATTACGCCAGCAATGATGAGCTGATGTAAAAATGAGCCCTACGAATTACAGCCTTCAACTTCTGGTGTTTAATCTGCTGTACATAGAACTTGCTCCTAAGAAGTGCAGAGCATTTTTTATTCATTTTTAAATCCCAAGCAGAATAAATGAAATATTTCTTCCCTAGGACACTGATCAGAAAATTCTAGAACCTGCACGTGCAATCACTCACAGGACTTTGCAAATATCAGTCTGAACCTAAGATCTTATTAGGACAATCAAACCAAGCATGGTAGCAAACATATATAAAAATGAATTCATATAGAAGAGTCAGTATAAGACAAAGCCTAATTCTTATGTGCAGTACTGTGACATTGACGTGTAAAAGCTTTTTAAGCCCCTAAGGAATTTTTATAGGTTTCTAAATAAATCAGATCTATGCGCTGAATAACAAGCACCATGGAGCCAACACTAAAACCCAAGATAGTACTTAGTTTTTCTCACCTGAAAATAGCATAGATAACAAATCTTTTCAAACAGATAAAACCTTATTACCAATGTTCTGTGGCACAAACCAAGCAACCTCTTTGTGAGAAAAGAACTTGCATTTCTACTCTGAATTGGAAAGTACTATTTTTGCTGCTTAACAAAAGTATCAACCAGCTGCTCAAGATTAAGGAAAAAAAAAAACCAACAAAATCTTTATATCCTCTCAGATCCTTCACCCATCACTAACATGCAGACCAAACAGAATCACTGAGTCCTGGGATTAAAGATACCAGATGAGTGCTAAAACAATCTCCAGGAAACGTGCTTTCTTACACATGAAACATAACCTTTCACTCTGCAAATACTAAAAGCATCAATACTTAAGTCCAAAATGATTAAACGAATACGCTTAATATTTAAATAAATAAATAAATTTTAGTTTTAGAAACAAAATTAAAAGTTTGCTAAAAAAAAAAAAAAAAAAAAGAAAAAGAAAAAAGCCTTCAAGTTTTCCGCAAAGCTTTGACAGTGTGATGAAACATCAAAGCTTGGGTGTCCAACCTTTCAGCCTGTCTGAGTGAAGAGGAATCACTGCCGCTGAGTGAAGGAGTTGTCTTGGGCCATGTAGGAAATACATAGCATCATTGATACATGTAAGTAACAAATCTCTTTCTTTCAAATATATACAAACATTTTGAATTTTACTATTATCTGTTTTTAACACAGAACATTATGGGATGAGGTTCAACAAGGCCAAGTGCCGGGTCCTGCACTTCGGGCACAACAACCCCATGCAGCACTTGGGGATGAGTGGCTGGGTGACTGTGAAGAGGAAAGGGACCTGAGGTTGGTTGATGCTCGGCTGAACACAAGCCGGCAGTGTGACCAGGTGGCCAAGAGGGCCAACAGCATCCTGGCGTGTGTTAGAAATGGTGTGGCCAGCAGGAGC